TTCATATCTAGTGGTCAAGATTAATTGTGACCACCTTGTAGCAAGAGTATATGGTCCCATTATATACTTTCCCTTTCTACATCTGTATCTCTCGGAGGCATAAAACATCCATCTTAAAGATGGATGCATATATGTGGTCGATCTAAAAAACGTTAAAAACAATGGTTTACATATTTTCTTCATAAAACTATCATTTTTTTAAAAAATATATATTTAGTTTTACAAATTCATGATCTCCATATTAGAGATTATATATTCCAAAAAATTTAAGTCCTAAATCCATCTCAAAAATGGATTTTTAAGAGGTGATACTCATAGAAACCTGTTCCTACTTTTTCACCTAAATATCCCAAGGGGGTTGAGGGTAATCATTCTTCCTAATAAGATGATATTGCTTATGTCATTGTCATTGGTTGATGGGATGTCATAGCTCAAAGGCAAATTTGGAAAGGTAAGAGGAAGATAAAAAACACAACATGATTGACGGGGTAACTCCAAAAGTTTTTACTAGACAAATCAATATTCACAAACCAAGACAAAAAAGCATAGCTGATGATACTTATTCTCAAGAAGACAAGGAGCAAGTAAAGCAATAATTGCAAAAACACAAATGAAATATTACAAAAACGCCCGAGCCGATGCACTAGTATGGTTAGCAGGAATGATTTAAAAAGTGGATCGGTGACCCAAATCGAGCACCTCAAAAACCGATTCAGATATGTGAATAGGCGATCAGGATCGGGAATCGGTTGAATCAATCGAATTAAAGCTTCAAAAAATCCGAAAAAATTATTAAAATTCATTATAAATATTGTTTTCTAGGAATCCAATAAAAAATGAGGGTACTACATTATTAACTTTCAGTTTTTTCATCAATTTGTGAATATTGAGATGCTATTTTTTGGTATAAACTTAAGTATTAAATTTGCATCACATAAAAAAAAATAAATCATAGCATTATCATGGATAAAATATATAATTATACATGGATTATACTAAAGAATAGACTAAATCAATGAAAGAATAGCCATTAAAATCTCGTTTTTACGAAAAACCCTAATCCGTTAAAAAAACCCAAATTATTACAACCTAACTAACTATAATCTATAATTATTACAACCTAACTAATTATAATATTACATACTGAAATTATATTTATTAGTTTATATTTTATAATTATTTTATTAGATAAATAATAATAAATTTAAAATATTTTATAATATTATCTAATTTAAAATGTATTATTGACAACTGTAAGGCAAATAGTACATTACATGATTTATAATGTAAAAATTAATAAATAAAATAAAAGATTTGGTTATCAATATAAAAATTAATAAAATGTATATAAATTTTGGAAAAAACACTTTAATTTATTATATGGCCAAGAGGGAACAAAAATAAGCTCAAGAAAGGATAATTATTATATGGCCCAAGAGGAGATTCGAACTTGAGATGTCAAGTCAAATGACATTAATGACAACCATCATACCTCCTTAACATATGTGTTTAAATTACCTATTAATAGCATATATTTACATTATGTTTTCATTTAATGATGTTTGAGAATTATCCCACATCGAAGGATGAGTATTCAAATATGCTATATAAATAACTATGTAATTGGAAGATTAATCTGTATGTGCGTGTTGCACGTGTGGCACATGTGGGAGTGGTGTGCGTCACATGTGTGATGTGCATGTGTATGTGCGTGTTGCACGTGTGCCACATGTGGGAGTGGTGTACGTCACATGTGTGATGTGTATGTGTATGTGCGTGTCTCACGTGTGTCACATGTGGGAGTTGGTGCGTCGTACGTGTGGCACATGGGGGAGTAGTGTGCGTCGCATGTATGACGTGTATGTGTATGTACGTGTCCCACGTGTGTCACATGTGGGAGTTGGTGTGTGTCTCACGTGTGTCACAATGTCGGAGTTGGTGCGTCGCCCGTGTGGCACATGGGGGATGGTGTGCGTCGATGTGGTGGGTGGGAGTTGGTGCGTGGTCTCAAGTGTGTCACATGTGGGAGTTGGTACGTCGCACGTGTGGCACATGGGGGAGTGGTGTGCATCGCATGTGTGACATGTATGTGTATGTGTGTGTCCCACGTTTGTCACATGTGGGAGTTGGTGTGTGTTGCACGTGTGGCACATGTGGGAGTTGGTGTGTGTTGCACGTGTGGCACATGGGGAGTGGTGTGTGGCGCACGTGTGGCACATGGGGGAGTGGTGTGTGTTGCACGTGTGGCACAAGTGGGATTGGTGTGTGTGGCATGTGTGGGAGTGTATATGGCTCGTGTCATACATACACGTGTGTGAGTGGTGTGTGTGGCACACTTGACCCGTTCACACATGTGAAGGCTAGATCCGGAAGGGAACCGACTAGAACCGAGAGTGTCACACATGTGGCACATGGGGGAGTGGTGTGTGTTGCACGTGTGGCACATGTGCGACTGGTGTGGTCGCACTTGTGAATTAGCACATGTGGATGATTTTTAGGTGCCACGCGTCACTCTCGTGAGGCTACCATGTGTCACTCTCTGTGAGACTCGCGATTCCCTATTGGAAATTGTCGAGAATCGCCCGATTCTCTCTCGACACGGGCAACTCTCGATTTTTTCGTAGAATCAACTCGATATCAGACGATTTTCGAGTCGAACCGGACGAGTTCAGCTCAACACGACGAATTTTTAAATACTGGTTGCAACCTTATAGAAACCACACCCATTATATAAGGGGAAAAGTTTATATAATATTACAACCCTAAAATGTAGAATTACAAATGCACCTCAAAAATCCATTGGAAAAAGTTCTTTTAATGTTGAGAGACCTCTAATTAATATATATATATATAAAAGATTTTGAGTCCCAAAAATAGTGCATCTTACAACATATTATCTAGACCGTCTATTTTAAAGATTTTCATATGTTTATAGATCTACTTGATTTTAACTATTTTTGAAGTTTAAAATTTTATAATTAGATATGAAAATAGATTTTTAGATAATTCTAAAAATCTTTTACAACCAAAGTACATGGTATGATGTAATTTGGAGGTGCGCCTTGATTGGATTGTTTAAGGTTGCAACCTTACAGGAACCGCAACCTTATATAAATGTATGTGCGTGTTGCACGTGTGGCACATGTGGGAGTGGTGTGTGTCACATGTGTGATGTGCATGTGTATGTGCGTGTTGCACGTGTGCCACATGTGGGAGTGGTGTACGTCACATGTGTGATGTGTATGTGTATGTGCGTGTCTCACGTGTGTCACATGTGGGAGTTGGTGCGTCGTACGTGTGGCACATGGGGGAGTAGTGTGCGTCGCATGTATGACGTGTATGTGTATGTACGTGTCCCACGTGTGTCACATGTGGGAGTTGGTGTGTGTCTCACGTGTGTCACAATGTCGGAGTTGGTGCGTCGCCCGTGTGGCACATGGGGGATGGTGTGCGTCGATGTGGTGGGTGGGAGTTGGTGCGTGGTCTCAAGTGTGTCACATGTGGGAGTTGGTACGTCGCACGTGTGGCACATGGGGGAGTGGTGTGCATCGCATGTGTGACATGTATGTGTATGTGCGTGTCCCACGTTTGTCACATGTGGGAGTTGGTGTGTGTTGCACGTGTGGCACATGTGGGAGTTGGTGTGTATTGCACGTGTGGCACATGGGGGAGTGGTGTGTGGCGCACGTGTGGCACATGGGGGAGTGGTGTGTGTTGCACGCGTGGCACATGTGGGATTGGTGTGTGTGGTATGTGTGGGAGTGTATATGGCTCGTGTCATACATACACGTGTGTGAGTGGTGTGTGTGGCACGCTTGACCCGTACACACATGTGAAGGCTAGAACCGGAAGGGAACCGACTAGAACCGAGAGTGTCGCACATGTGGATGATTTTTAGGTGCCACGTGTCACTCTCGTGAGGCTTCCATGTGTCACTCTCGGTGAGACTCGCGATTCACTATTGAAAATTGCCGAGAATCGCCCGGTTCTCTCTCGACACGGCGACTCTCGATTTTTTCGTAGAATCGACTCGATATCAGACGATTTTCGAGTCGAACCAGGCGAGTTCAGCTCAACACGACGAATTTTTAAATACTGGTTGCAACCTTATAGAAACCACACCCATTATATAAGGGGAAAAGTTTATATAATATTACAACCCTAAAATGTAGAATTACAAATGCACCTCAAAAATCCACTGAAAAACGTTCTTTTAATGTTGAGAGACCTCTAATTGATATATATATATAAAAGTTTTTGAGTCCCAAAAATAGTGCATCTTACAACATATTATCTAGACCGTCTATTTTAAAGATTTTCATATGTTTATAGATCTACTTGATTTTAACTATTTTTGAAGTTTAAAATTTTATAATTAGATATGAAAATAGATTTTTAGATAATTCTAAAAATCTTTTACAACCAAAGTACATGGTATGATGTAATTTGGAGGTGCGCCTTGATTGGATTGTTTAAGGTTGCAACCTTACAGGAACCGCAACCTTATATAAATGTATTGACCTATAAGATATACAACATATCTATACTTGATGGTTCTCACTGTATGGTTCACAACAAAAGTTTATAATTACAAATTATTCTATCATGTAAAGATTAGTTCTTAGTGTGGCAAACTTTAATCACCTACTCATGCACATGCAAATCAACTTATGTACATACATGTGCATGTGCACACGTGCGAGTGGGTGAGAGAGAGACGGTGAGATGAATACATGTACACCACTTTCTGTTTAAAGTGTCCATGATCACATGCACGTAAACTATATATTTTGTGCCAGACACATCGCAGTAAACAAAACCATGATTCTTAAACTAAGATTGTCAAAAACCTAAACCTTAGAAGCCAGAAAGTGCCTTCTGAAGTTAAGATCCAGCTGTAGGACATCAATTTTGCAGTTCAAAAAGTGAGAGCACAAGGGAGCTATTGTCGGGCACAGCCAAGACCATAATTTGATATTGTACATGCAAGACATAATAAGTCACATAAAAGATGTCTTTAACAAAACCTTGTTCATTTCATTTAGTCTACTTCTCACATGGAATAGGTGCTACAGTGGAGTTCTCCAGGCAGACATGAAGCTACAAAAAGTCCCTTGCATTTGTTCACATAAAATATTTAAAACATATTCCTCATTTTGCATCATATTTTATAAATTAGAAATAAAGGAACAACTGCCCATGAAGCTTATGCGCATCCATATGCAAGCCTCTTGAATTTCTTTACAGCTCTTGATAAACCCCAACCTCCGATCTTCCGACAATGATGTTGAAATACCTAATTCATCCATATAAAATGTCAAGCTGTTCGGCAAAGTTTCCCCCTAAAGAGAAGGAAGAGTGGTTTCATAATATACAACCTCAAATATTGGCTCCAAACTAATATTTAAGAAGTGAAGGTACAACAAACTGCAAACCTCAAATGACTGCTCAAAGCAGACTAAGGAGACATCTGCACCCTCAGCCTTCAGCATGGCATCCTGCAGTGAACTTACAAGCTGAGGATGTAACATCCTCTATTATTATTATTATTTTTTAATAGTTGTTCTTGTAATCTGTGGGAATTTAACATCAACACACTAGGAATGAAGTTAAACAAAATAATTAAAAAACAAACATTAGATTTTTTTTTTTCTTCCTTTTCTCAAGGAAGAATTAAAGCTTCAAGAGGACCTGGTCATACAAGTACATAAGCAATCTTGTCTGCATCATTTGGTACTTTGATTCTCTTGGTTCAAACCTGCCGAAAAAAACATGCAGTGCATTAGCCGATTAAGAAGGACCTCATGTTTAATCAACTGATAGCTTTAAAGCCCAGAAAAATCAGGAAGGTTTAAAAAACAGATTTGTGCAATAAAGAATAGCTTAGAGGCTGCAGAAATGGCATGAACCAATCAACCAACAAGACACTGATTCATGGCTTCTTTTAAGAGACAATTGGATGGGATTAAATACCATTACTAAGACATCTTACTTGAGTCCAGTACTGGTTAACCCTTTCCTCTTTCTTCAATAGATAGTTCTGGTATCACTTGGTAGATTAGCAGCTAAGCCTTCTCTTTTTATTTTTTCTTTTTATAGGTAGTTATTTCTACTTGTGAGCATTACCAAAAGGTTTGAACATTAAAAGCTAGACCCTAGTAACCCATATACTAATTCATGATACGGAAGAGTACAAGGAGATGTCAGTAAATTGGTAATGAGTCTAAGCAAGGTATATGAACTGTTCAAATTGGGTTCTCTAGCAGCCTAGAGAAAGAGATTTGACATTAAGAGCAGTAGGCCCGAGCTTCAAAAGAATCTGCCAGCCCAATAGAACTCGCAAATCCATTTTGGATTATGGATGGTGCATTCTGAATTAATCTCGTGACATACTAGTAGAAGTTCAACAGTACAAATGGACCTCCTACTGAAGTTAAGCTCTGGATTTTTGCTCAGGAGTGTGCTTTGGCAACTAGCTAATCCTAATTCAGGGAGCCTCACAAATCCAAAATAGCATTCTATTACCAAGATTTCTATTGGCTCTCCTGTAAACCAATCCATCACAAGGGTCATAACTCTAAAGATGATGTTTACTTTTACTCCTTGTACGAGACAACAAAGACCCTGTAAAGAAGAAATGAAAATGGAAAACAAATTGCGTTCAACATTTAGAATGTCATCCAGTTAAAATAAAGATATCAAAGCTAATTTTATCTTATAATCCCGTCCAGTTCTTTTTCCATTGTACTGATCAACTACAAGTATGTCAGCCAATGCCAAGTAATATTTATGAAGATTGAAACCAACTAAAAGAAAATCAGAATCACTCAAAGCACATATTTTTGGAAGGAACAAAATCCTCATGTTGTAAATTTTTACAGAAAAAGATAAAAACAAACAAGGACCAGATGTACTCTAACCCCACTTCGATGCAGACATTCAGTTCTCACAGGAACACCTACTAGTTACAATCAAAATCTAGCAAAAGCGATTATTACATATCATAATATTTTCTTTTGCTCTTTTTTTTTTTTTTTGGTGGGGGTGGGTAGGGCAGCATGGAAACAACGAATGTCATACTATCTTCTCAAACAATTTGGGAGATGGGGCAAGATTCAACCAAATGCTGGCCCACATAGTTTGAGTGGCCACAACGTTCAGAAAAAGCTCCAAATTTAATGGCGCGCCTATTGCTTTGGAAACAAAGATATGACTAACCGTAAGCTCAGGCACTACTAGATACAGCCTCTGAAATTTCATTGATAGCTCTTGATAATTCCCAACCCTCAAAGGCTGCACCCTTCCAATTGCAAGGTTAAAATGCCTTATTGAGACTTCCATGATATCAAGGCTTTCCTGAAATTACAAAAAAAATAAAAGGAAAAAGAAAGGGCTTTCTGAATGACAGGTCAGAAGATCACTTTCAAAATACTAAGTAAAGCAGCATCCAACTTCAAACCTCCAATGCAGCAAGAGCAGCTTCACGACAGATTAAGGAAACATCTGCCCCTGTACAACCTTCAGTAAGGCTCGCAAGCTCTGACAGGTTGACATCAGATCCACAAGGGATTTTGCTCAAGTGAATGTGAAAGATGTCTTCTCTGTCTCTCTGGTTTGGAGTCCCACATACAAAAGTCGGTCAAAGCGCCCTGTAGTGAATATTGTAAATTGAACATATAATATGACGGATGTTTTACAAATTTATAGAAAACCAGAAGTAAACAATGATGAGAATAATATTTGAACAGGACCTGGTCATAGAAGGGCCCGATCGATCTTGTCAGGACGATTTGTAGCTGCAATCACAGTTACACCTACTCTTTGGTTCAAACCTGAAAAATCCAGGTTTACAGTTAGGCCATAGCAATGCCTTAACTCAGGAGAAGGAACTCATTCATAATTTCCTGCAACTTGAAAGCCTGAAAAATAAGGAAGATACAGGCTGGTAGATAAGTATAATTCTAGAACTTATAAAATGGAATGCACCAGAAAGATGCAGAAGCCAGCTTACTATGAGAGTCGTGTTAGTGAGTTTTGAATATAGCCATACTCGCTCCAACGCCCATTAAGCTTTTTTCTCATTTCCAAATGGTGGTTCTGGTGCTGCTTATCTAGCACTGCCCAAAGGTTTAACCAGTGCTAGAAAACACAAACAGGGAACGGAACCCAGCCATGGGCCGGGTGCGGGTAACCTGGAACCAGCCCTCAGCGAGTAGGTCTCGACAAGGCAAAAAAGCATTAAAAAAATATATAAAAAAAAATCCCAAAAAATATGAAAAGTATGTTTAAAGTATAATTAAAACAAAATACATCCAAATGAGAATAAAAAAGTAGTGAAAAAATAATTATTAAAAATCAATCTGTGCCCAGGGCATTTTAGAAATAATCCAAAAAAGATGGGAAAATGTTAAAATAAGTATATATGGCCAAAATACTTCCCACTCTTTTCCAAAACACTAGAAAACATTAAAAAACCTATTACAAACAATTTTCGTATTATTTGAATTCTTTAATTTTTTTAATTGTTTTTTTAAGCTAGGGTGGTCAAGCCACTTGACCACCCTAACGGCCAAAACCAGTTGCTGGTTCCGGGTTGTCCAGGCAGGTTTTGCGAACAGGGAGTTAAACTATGATTCAGCTAAACCTTTATCAAGCCATATATTGAATCACTTTATGGCATAATTACAAACAGATGCAGAAAACATAAAGTACAGAACACTGAAACAGGTCTTTGCGTGTGTGACTGTGTGTGCACGCATGTGTGTGTAAATATTGATGTAGATATAGATATAGATATTGATATAGATATAGATATAATATAGATATAGACACAGATACAGACACAGACACCTAAACAGACAAACACATCTTCAGACATAATACATCTCTCTCTGTGGTCATCTGTTTACAGGTGGTCCCAATTCTAAGAATCTTGGGAATCATTTTTTAGAATTGATTGTTATTCTAAGGACCAGTTTGGACGCACGAATTATACTAACTCACTAAGTAAGTCTGTTCTTAAATTCCATCATTCATGACTAGTAATAAACAATGTTTGGTGCCATCCAACTATTCATGAGTCCTGTTTCTCAATTTCACTCCCCTCCATCAAGGAAAAAAAAAGAACAATAAAAAGAAATTCTTTACGATTATTCATGAAGAATCATATTCATAGATGATAAAAAACGCAAAAAAACATCCAAACTGGACTAAGCATCTTCAGTGTCATAAGAAGATGTAAAGATTTAGCTATATATCGCACATGGCACAAGCAACACAGGTTTTTTTACCATCCAATTCAACAAGTAGCTGACTGATAACCCTATCTCCAACAGAAGCTCCATGACCATCATTTCCACGGGCCACAGCAAGTCCATCTATTTCATCAAAAAAAATTACTGAAGGAGCAGAACCACTTGCCTTAGCAAACAAGGACCTTACTGCCTTTTCAGATTCTCCAACCCATTTACTAAATAGTTCAGTGCCTTTCACTGCAAGAAAATTAAGCCCTGCTTCAGAAGCCACTGCACGAGCCATTAATGTTTTACTGCAACCAGGAGGCCCAAACATTAAAATGCCTCTTGGTGGATTTGTCCTTATACGCTTAAAACCATCCTGATGCTTTTGTGGCCATTCTACAGCTTCTCTGAGTTGTTGTTTAACCTAATGTTGACCACCAATATCTTTCCAGCCAACTTTTGGATCCTCGAGCATAACCTACCAATAAAATCATGTTGAGCTTAGCTCCCCAAATGAAAAAAATAAAGATCGAGAAAGGAAAACACCATTTCAGAAATGGGCTAACTCCGCTGTTTTTGTACGATATTTATGCCCAGTGCAAATGGGTGAACTTGACTTTCCTTCCCCCACTTCTTTCTTTTTTTGTCTTTGTGAAAAGAGGAGGGATGGGAAGGTGGGGTGCTTTGTGGTTGGCGAACTCAGATACAAACTGCAAATCCAACAATTATCAAACAAAGAAAAAGACTAGAAACCATAGATTTCTTTTTTTCTTCTGCACTCAAGACGAAATAAATTACCAAAGCCAGTTTCAGGAGATTAAAATCATCTAAGAAACCAAAATACTACAAACACGCTAGAATCCAGTCAATAAGATGAAAGGAAGTCTGGACATTGACATGTACACAAGAGAGATACAAGTCCTAAGAATTAGAAACTGATTTTTTTATGACATAAAAGGTTACCACTAGCCTCTGAAACAAGAGTGAACTGACAGGTAAAATGATGGTAATCATTGCATTAATAATTTTGGAAGGAAAAAAAAAATTTGCTAAGCAAAATTGAAAACTGAAAGTTGACCAGCCCAATATCTCTCTCATAGCACTAGGCCTGACTTTCATCCTGGCTTTCTCAAAATCTTCTGGGCACAATTTCAACAAAGAGTCTGTTCTCCCCCTACAAGAAGAAATGTTCTTTCCTCCACAAGGGTTGGTAAGATTCGTATTTTTAACAGTATTAGTATCTGACAGGTCCTGACTTTCACCAAAAAGACGAACATTCTCAGAGGATATAGATAAATCGAAGAGTAATGATGACACAGACACTACTGAATCATGGGAACTTGCATTTTGACCTAAATCCCCATCAATAGTATTGGGAGAACTATCCTTGTAATCCTCCACAAAATTCTCAGGAGACTCAATAGAGTTTCCATATTCTATATAACGCCGAAGAGAAATTAGTGCCGCCTCATTGCAGAGAGCAGGGAGATCAGCACCAACGAATCCATGTGTGCATGAAGCAACATACTGAATTTCTGTGTCGATAAGAGAGTGGCTCATCCCACAAAGTATCTTCTGTAGAATTTCAAACCTTTGACCTGGAGATGGCACACATGAAGTAGTTCAGTTTGTTAGTTACGAGGAGATCTAATGAATCTGACTAGGGGAGCCAACACCCAAGAGCTTTCAAACTATTTCATCTGAGCTTCAGAAGTTGCAACAGGGATACAGATAAAAGTGAGGAGACATTAAGGTGAGGGAAAAAAAAGAAACAGGAGGTAATGTGCATAAGATGTGGTTCACTTCTGCAAAGAACCCACAAATAAAAGGCAGCAGTTAGAAATTGATGACATGAGGCCTTAAACCCACAGCTTTGTCCACAGGAGACTGACTAAATAATCAAGGATCACGCATTGATAAGAAGGTCTAGAAACACAAGAGAGAAGAACGGAAAGAAAGAAGGGGGAGGGGGGCGGGGGATGTGGGGACGAGAGAGATAAAGCACAAGCGACATGTAGAACACACCTACCAGGTACTTTTTTTGTGGAGATCACTTAGTAATCACTTAGATTAGAAAAGGAAACAAGTGGCTAAGGCAAAGAATCCATACCATACCAATTTCTATTTCCCTATCAAATCTTCCAGGCCGCCTCAAAGCAGGATCAATAGAATCAGGACGATTCATGGCGGCAATAACTAATGTACCATCATTTCTATCAGTACCATCCATTAAGTTCAATAATGCAGCCACCATTCTCTGAGAAAGCTCTTCACTTCCATCCTTTCGAGCAGGTGCAATGGCATCTAATTCATCTACAAACACCTGAAGTACAAAATACCACTAATTATTTATTTTTCATAGATCTATTGTGAGAGAACCTTTCCATGGTGAGAAAGACGGAAGCATACCACAGAAGGGGCAGCTTCAGTTGCTGACTTGAAAACTTCATGCAATGCCTGCTCGCTTTTTCCGTAATATTGACTAACAATCTCTGGCCCCTTAATAGAGAAAAGATTGACACCAGCATCATGAACACAAGCACAAGCCAAAGACATCTTCCCTGTTCCAGGTGGCCCATGAAGAAGCACACCTTTCGTTGGTTGTACTCCCAGCCTGTCCAAGATTAAGAAAAACAATTAAGAAACATTGTTCCCCACTTTGATACAGCCATTGGCCATTGCAATGGAAAGAAGAATCAGATACCTAGAGCCTGCTTTGTTCCATTTTATAATATTAAAGAGCTCTTCAAGACAATGAACACATTGACCATGTATGCTCGAACGACAAGAAAAGGTCGAGCAAGTTAGACATGTGATTGTCAAGTATATGACTTCATAACATACTGGGAAGGAAATTTAATGACCATGCTAATAAATTATGACGAGTTTAAACCTTGTCGAGGTGTCTCTATTTATCAAGGAGCAGTAGATTATTTCATTTAGAACATCCGCTTCTTCAGATAGGCCACCCAACTTTGCAACTTCAGAGCCACTATCCTTGCTATTTTCAGGGTCCTCTAGTCAATTAGAGGGAGAGATCCTATCTTATGGGATTCCAAATTTGATGGAATGGGTGTCAATAAATGTACTTCAGTTTTTTAGTCAATCAAGAAGGGACCGTCACTACTTTTTTCTGAATCATGAAATCTCTTTCCGGCTACCACCCGAAAAGCAGAGTCATGACCACATATTGGAACCATCACTACATTACCATGGATTAGGCTTTGACCACAAGCCATCGAGCACCATAATTCTTCAAAAGTTCCTTTATCTTTTCATCTTCTAGGGCTGATCTTACAGCTGAGTAATTGAGCTTTTCATTTTCAGAAGGATCAGAGCCATTAGACCTTATCTTTTTTGGAGTTGAAAAGGAATTTGGGGTTCTATTTTCTTTCAAAGGACTTAACTTTAAATAAAGGTCTTTGCATTTGCTTAGTGAGACCCATTGAAGTTTATCATCAACTGGGTTTTGGAAATCATGAGTGCTCTTTAAATGAGGAGATATTGAATGGCATTCAAGAGTGGAAACAAAAACAATTATACCCAGTGAAGGATTACCCATGGTGCATGAGAGATTCCATGACAATCTCACATCATTCTTTAGAACCTGCACATAAGAAGAAATCAAAACAAATAATAAGTATTAAGTTGAATTGAAAAGATAAGGGTTGATATTTTCATCTACAAGTCACAATTAGAAGCTATTTCAACCTTACCTTTCGAGAAGGCCACACAACTGCAACTGCAAAAAAAACACCATTCAAATCATCTGTGTCATCCCTAATATCAATATTGAAATTTTCAGAGCATTTAATGACCAGAAATTCAAGGAGAGAGCCTTTAGAGGAGGCAAGTGAGACCTGTTAACAAAGCAAAAACTGTCTAAGAAACAATAAGTGACACCAACTCTCAAAAAGCTCTATAATCAATGAACCCACATTCCGCCATATCCAGGCACGAAGAAACACAAGACAAAGGGTTTCGAGGAGCGAAGGATGAAGAGAATGTACAGTAAGGGCCAACAAGCTCCATAACGATATCAAAAGAAAACGGAGCTCATAATTAAGCATGTGTATGCAATTTCTTCAAAAAAAAAAAATTCATGAACTTTGAAATTAAAATCCACTCAGTTTCAATGGGGAAGCAAATTTCCAGCTAGGGCAAAACTGTTCCATCCATATATCAAAAGAAAGGGACAAATTCGAGAATGAGACTCCAATTTCCTTCAATAATGAACTTCGAAATCCCCAAAAACCTACTGTAATAGAGAAATTAAAGACAGAGAGCAAATTACAGATACATAAGAACCAGGCAATAGAGAGGAAGCAGACATGGAAGCTTCAGATAACCAGATTGTTGAACCAAGACCGTTCATCTTGGCCTCAACCTCCGTAACTCGACCTCGAAAGGAATTTCTACATATGAAGCCAGGAAACCTAAAACTGGCCTCCATTAAGGTGGAATTCAAGCTTTCATCATCAGAAGAAAGTGAAGGAGTTGCAGAGCTTTGATTAACACTGATAATGGACGTTTTCTGGTCTAGCGTGGTGTGCTTAGTAGACGATGTAGAAAGGGTTTTTCGTGACTTCTTTGGCTTGGGAGCCATGACCACTGGTGAGCGGGAAATAGCCTTTGATAACTGAGCGTGTACATGAGATTTTAGGGGGCGTTTGGCAACTACAAGCCGGAAATAGGGGTCGGAATTTCTATTTTGGAGGTTTGGATATAAACTTTTTTATAACATCAAATATATTTAAATAAATGTAGGAAAAATCCAACCGGAACGATATAGGGCATGGAGCGGTTTCACTCGCCCAATCGGGCAAGTTCGAGGCAAATAAAAAAGCGTTAAAAAATAAAAAATACAAAAAAATCTAATAAAATATAAAAAGTATATTAGTGTGACAAAAAAGTTAAAAAATATAAAACAATTTAATAAAATATGAAAAATATATTTAAAGTAGAAAAAAATTCATATAAAGTTGCAATTTTAAAATGTAGAATTACATATGTTCTTAAAAAATCTATCGAAAAAGTTTGTTTTAATGTTGAAAACCCTCTAATTGATCATCTTGACATCGCGATGTATGAATATCTATAAAAACAGAGATTTGAGTCTCATAAATAGTGCATCTTGCAACACATTATCTAGACCATCCATCTTCAAGGTTTTCATATATTTATAGATTTACTTGATTTTAATTATTTTTAGAGTTTAAAATTTAATAATTAGATATGAAAATAGATTTTTAGATAATCCTATGAATTTTTTACAACAAAATTACATGCTATGATAAAATTTGGAGGTGCGCCTTAATTGGATTCTTTAATGTTGCAACCTTATAGAAACCACACCCTTTAAAGTATGCTTAAACAAAAGACATCCAAATGAAGTTGAAAATTAATGAAAAATAAATTTTAAAAAATTGATTTGTGCTCAAGGATATTTTTGAATTTTTAAAAAAATATAAAAAAATGTTAAAATAAATATTAATGTCCAAAACAATTTTCAATCTTTGTCAAAATGATGAAAAATATTAAAAAATATATTGCAAAACATAATCTCCCTTATTTATTGAGAATTACATAATTTGTTTTGAATAGTTTTTAAACACCCGGCCGATTCACTAAATCTTGCTAAATCCAAAATCGGTCCATTATGATCTAACTGGGGGACGAGAAATTGAACAGCCTGGTTTTTTTTTCTATACTGCTCATTTCCAAGATTTTATTTCTAATATTTAATTTTCCATTTAGCCAAACCGCCATATTACTTTCATTCTCTCATTTTGTCAACTCCTTCTAAATTTCTAATTTTAAATATTTTCAAATAATTAAGGAGAAAATAATATTATATTAAGAATTTTGAAAGCACTTTCCCGATTTTATTAGAAAAACATTAATTGCAGCGGCAGAGGAACCCAAAATATCGGAGGAGACCAAAATACCGACGCAAAAAATAACAGAAGGAAAATTGTTTCATACGGGTTGGACGGCATTTCTACCTATACGGTCCAAAAAGTATAAAGCATCCATCTTAATGATAAATACAAGTAGGTGTTCCATCTAAAAACAATGAAAACTAAGAGACCAAACAATGAAAATTAAGAGACCAAATGTTTTTTTGTTAGAATTATTATTTTTAGTTTTAAAAATTTATTTATTTTTTTATAGTCATGATCTCCATGTTAGAGATTACATGTCTTTAAAAATTTCGTCTTAAAGTACATCTCAAAATTAGATTTTTAAGAGGCCCGCATTACTCCATATGCGGGCCTGGCTGCATAGGAAACGGGTCCATAACGGAAAGGATGAAATATGGGAAAATGCAATTTTAAAAGCAAAAAGATTCTATACTCCCATGAGAGTACTTTGTTCGTCTGCTCCTTCGAGTAAAACACAAAATAGTAGTAAATTTTTTTTTTAACAAATGTTATCAAATTTTATTGTCAACTAAAATGCAATTGCATCACTCGCTCATTACATCATTCAAAATAGAAAAGGAATCTATATCAACACCTCTTTTAGCCAAACCATCATCAAGATCATTCAATTCTCTAAAGACGTGATGGAATGATAAAGATAATTCCTTTTCCAAATTCACCGCTTGGACCCAAAACGAACGTGGCAACCAGGGAACTCTTTATTTCTTTTTGCACCACCTAATCACATTTTGGGAATCAACTTCGACCACTATACCATGACCCAAATTCATGGCTTTAAGAAGGAGTAATCCTTTGAGCAATGCTTTAAACTCAGCCATGTTAGCCGTGGCAATTCCAATAGGTCATGCGTAGGTAAGAACAATTGACTCAGTCCAATCACGTACCACATCTCCTATCCCTGCATTACCCGGATTACCGAGAAAGCTGCCATCAAAGTTTACCTTTAACCAACCTTATACCAAGGGTATCCATTTACCAACTGGTCTGGTCTTAACACTCTTAGATACTACCAAATAGGCTAGATTAAGCCGCACATCGATTTCGCTAACACCTCTCCCATCTTCAATGACTAATAGCCAGCACCATATCGTATGAATAATACATTGGATTAAACCTTCACATGAAAGACCAATTCCTTGAAAAGCACATCTATTTTATTCTTTCCATAACTCCCAACACACAGCTCCTTTAACAATTTGCCAAATCCTTGCCCCCAATTTTGGTAAAGCGAGAAATACTAACTGAGAAATGATATCCAAGACAATTTGAGGAAGAGCCGTACTGAAGCCTAGCATCCCAAAGAAGTAATACCATATGTACGTTGCATATTGACAATGAAGAAGCAAGTACGAAATCGACTCCCCATCCTTTTTACACATCAGGCAAACATTTGGCAAGATTTTTCCTCTTTTAATGAGATTATCAACAGTAAGAACCTTATTTTGCTTAGCCACCAAATAAAACATTGGACCTTATGAGGAATGAGCTATTTTCAGATTTGGGAAATTTGAGGCAACGACCATATATGGCGATCTTGGAATAAGAGAGAATATATGGCTTTAACCGAAAAAAGACCATCCTTACTGTGCTCCCAAATCACCTCATCATCAGTATTATTGGACAGTGCCACCTCCTGTAGCTGTAAAAACAAGCTCAAAACTTGCGCCACAAACTGGTCATTAACTCGATTATAAAGAAACTGGATATCCCACACCACCTGCTGTCCATCAACCTGATAGATTTCAAATAATCAGAGCATATGGGGAAGAGGCCTTTGCGAACAATCTAGGGAAGGAACTCTTCAAAGGGAAATCCCCTAGCCACTTATGGTGCCAGAACCGGACTTGAGTGCCATTCCCCACACACCACTTAATATCTCTATGGAGATAGGCTTTGAACATAAAAATATCCTTCCAAAATACAGATCTGGATGCACTTCTTCTACCACCTCTAATCCACACTCCAAACCTATCGACATTGTATTTAGCATTTAGAATCTTGCACCAGAGCTGATCCTTAAACAACAAATTGCGCCACTACCATTTTGTCAGCAATGCCTCATTCATCAATACCACTCTTTGAATAACCAGACCTCCTTCACATTTAGGGGTACACACTCTATCCCATATTAACAAATGATATTTTCTATTCTCCTCAAAAGACCCCCATAGAAAACATCGCATCATCTTCTCAACTTTCTTAACTATACTTATTGACATTTTCAGGAGAGACATATGATAAATGGGTAGGTTTGCCAAGCATGATTTAATTAAGGTCACACGTCCCCCAAGCAACAAATACTTTGGCTTCCATAAATCCAATTTAGTTTGAGCTCATTGAATCACTCTATCCCATACTGAAATAGGTAACCTGAAATAAAAAATAGGAAGCCCCAGATAAACTATGGGGAATTTATCCACTTTGCATCCAAGTATTAAAGCAAGTTATTATGTCAGTTCACTGCTGCAATTAAAATAGTAATAATTTTAGGATCTCAAATTTTGGGATGTAATCTCTTCAAACCATTGATTCTTTTTTTTTTTTTCACAATTGAACTCTCTATGCTCTAAAAAAAAAAATATCTCAAGATTGAACAAAGACCATCTAAAATTTAAAGGGCAAGATCTAAATATCAAAAAACTCATGAACCAAGTTTTTGTTTTGGAAATAATCATCTAGTGCTTCTTAAGTGATTCTCAAAACTCAAACTATAAACAATAGGAAAATTGTTTCATGCGGGCTGGACCGTATTTCTATATATACGGTATATATAAAGTATCCATCTTAAAGATGACGTAAGTAGTTGTTCCATTTAAAAACAATAGAAACCAATGGTTCAAATGTTTTTTTACCAAAATTATTATTTATAGTTTTTAAAATTTATTTATTTTTTTATATTCATAATTTTTATGTTAGAGATTACATATTCTTAAAAATTAAGTCTTAAAATCCATCTAGATTGATTAAGAGGCCCACCTTTCTATACATGCAGGCTTGCTTGGCCGCATAGAAACCGGGTCTAAAATAATATCCTCCCTAGGTCTTTTGCATGAGGCCGTATGTACACGGTATGCTCCTGCGGGAGCTTAGTATACACATTGTTTTAAAAATTAAAGGCTTCCCGTCTCCCCGCCTTTATTCATCAAACGGCATCTCCAAATCCAGTTCGACATTACAGATAAACCCTAATTTCATATTTTTGGAGCTATTTTTGACCATGGAAAACCCTAATTCTGGAGCTCTAAAGCCATAGGATCCATGGAAACCCATAAATCTCAGTCTTCAGCTTCACAGTTAGCAAACATGACTTTCTCAGGTTAAATTTTTGTTTTGTTAGCGAACTGCAGTTTGATATCTAAATATGGATGGTTCTCTTCACCCTGTGGTCCCTCGATGGAACACTGAGAGGTCATTTCTCACTGGTCGATTTTATCAGGTATTCATCAAATGTTGCCCTAATTCATGGAATATTATGTGGAATTTTGTTATACATTTTCTCTCTGAAAATAGGAAACGAAACCTAAGTCTCAACTTGGAGGAAGCAAGGGGATTTCTTCAGAGTCCTTCAGGTGTGAACTCAACAATTTTTCAATTTTAATTTGATTGTGGAAAAGTGGTTTCAGTTCTTGTTCTTCCATGTTATTGGGGGTGCAATTGTTGTTATGGAATGGTATCTAACTATGCTCTCTCTCTCTCTCTCTAGCTATCAAGGCCCCGAGAATCCTATTGGGTATTATACTGCATCTGTCCAGGTAGAATTTGTCGATAAGCTTCATAAATTTTTCCTTTTCCTGGTTATATGTGAACATGGGAAGCATTGGGATTCCTAAGAAGATGCTTAATTTCGGGATTTTGGATATTTATTTGTCCTACAATGGAGTGAGAATATTTTCCTATGGTACTTCAATTGGGTTTCATCGCTACTCTAGATAAATGAATAATTTTTTGAGACATTTCAGTTTACAAAATTGGTAATGTCCCTACATTTTTGTATGAAACTACATGACCCACATACATTCAAGATGTTTATTTTTTATTCAGATCAGTGTAGGAAAACTCGGGCTAGTCCACTCAAACTTGGTGCCCTGCCAAGCCTGGAACCAGAAATGTGGGAACCTGCAGAATTTGGATGATTCCCAATATATTAGTACTTTTTGTACAAGATTGCCTGAGTCTCTCAGAGACTAGGCCGAGCCTGTCAGACCTGATTTGGGAGTCCCAACTCAAGTCCATGTTATCCATTATAACTTGCTAATAGTGTCCATCTGGTTATCATCATCCAAATAACCAACTGTGAATATCTTTGCAATCTACCATCTGCTCAATTGCAATATTACAGTTCACACTGATGTGCTCTAGTACCAGTATTTTTCCCTTTTAATAAAATGCTGTTGTTGCAATTTATTCAATTATACATACTCATAGCGTGCATGTACTATTTACATGTTCGATTCATGAAAATCAGGAGCTATTAGTTATTGATGACCTGCTCCACGCTTTGGTGGGTATTGAGGGGCGATACATATCAATGAAAAGAATGCGAGGAAAGGAATACCATATTACTTATCACATAGATCCGACAATGGACTTGGCACTTCAGGTCTGAGGAAAATTCTCCATGAACCAGACCATGTTGTCTTTGAAAGAATTGGCACATGCTTAACATATACAGACATGCTTATGGGTAACTTTTACAGGAATTAACCAAGCGAATGCTGCCTTTATGTGAGCACTATTTTATCATCAGTCAGTTTGTGGAATCTAGATCACATTTCAAGTATGGTTTGGTCAATCATGCCTTTGCAGCTGCACTCAGGTCCCTCCTTATTGTAAGTATTCTTACTGGTTCGATTTTTTTTTCTCACTAAAAGCTAAGCTGCGATGTATTGATTGTTTGAATCGATAGCTTGTGAATTTTGTCTGCTGATACATTTTGAGCAAATAATGCTTTTCCTGTAATAGAAGTAAGCTGGTCCTTGGAAGGCCTTTAAGGTGCTGAAGTGTGTTATTATTTCCATAAACATTGCTCAATATAAATTATAAATAGAAAAATATTTCTCTGGACCCTGATGAGAAATTGGAAAACATAAAATAGAAAAGAGAAACTTCTCTTTTTGTAAGTTCGATCATTAAAAATTACCGTTATATGAAATTTTCTTTCTTGCCTATATTTTTGGCTGGGAGATTACCCTAGTAGTCTTCGGCATTTTCTTTTCTTTGTTAAAACACCCATATTTTTTATTCACTGATTTTGTTTAATTTGGAGGTAAAAGCCTTTTTCTTTGGATTGCAAATTACAGGATTACCAGACTCTGGTGGCTCAGTTGGAACACCAATTCAGACTAGGAAAACTCTCTATTCAGGGACTATGGTTCTTTTGCCAGGTTCGTATTTCCTTGAATCAGTTTGTGGTTTTGTGCCTGAGATCTGTGTATTTGCACCTCCATAATTGTCTTTTGAATACATTTTCAGCCAATGATGGCATCCATGCAAGCTTTGACCATAGTGTTGCAGAAAGCATCTATAAACAATTATATGGGATCTGCAATTTTGAACCTTCTCCAAAGTCAGGTTTAGATCGATCCCTTGTACAAGTTACCCTATCATGCCTCCTCTTGATTCAACAAGATTATGAGTTGATCTTAAAACAAAGTGTTTTATATTTTGGCATTGGTACCTTACATCGAAATTCAGCAATCTTATTTGCAATTCAGTTCTATGTTACATATATTCGGTTTCAAATCAGTTGGAAATTTAGTTGAACTCAGCATTCTGGGATGTTCAATAGTAGGGACTAGCTTATAGAGAAAATTGTCTGTTTTTGTGAAGTAAATAATGGCTTTGTACTATTAACAAGTTGTTGATGGAAACAGTTACTGCTTGCATGGCTTTTTGCTTTTATGAAAAAGAAACTTGATCATTGGAGAAGAAGTCAGATGGTTCTGGTAATTTTTAGTTCTGTTTGCCAATCTCAGGCCATGGCAATGGCTGGTGATAATGCAGTGAGATCTTTGCTGGAAAAGATGACTCAGTGTGCCAGTTCTGCTTATCTGTGCATACTAGAAAGGTATTGTAAATTTTCCATCTGGCTCCGTTTATGGGTTAACAAGTTGGCAAATATTGGGGCCTGAAGATCTGATTTGTGCTATGCTGCTGTACCCTTTTCAAATTGATGTATCGCCTTATCTTTGATAGGTGGGTATATGAGGGAGTTATTGATGATCCTTATGGTGAATTTTTTATTGCTGAGAACCGATCATTGCAAAAGGTGCATATTGCCTCAGTTGATTACTAGCATTGCGATCTGCACACTCTCATAGCTCCCTCACTCTTTGCTTTTTTACAGGAAAGTCTTACTCAAGATTACAGTGCAAAATATTGGGAGGAGCGCTATAGCCTCAAGGATCCTATTCCAATCTTTCTTACTAATGTTGCGGGGACAATTTTGACAACTGGCAAATATTTGAATGTCATGAGAGAATGTGGCCATGTGGTGCAGGTACACCTATAATACTTCACAACTTTATGCTAATTTGTTTTGAGTTGCTTTTCAAGTATTGTATGTTTGCAGCATGGGATTATCTGTCTTTTTTCTTCTCCTATGATTAAGACCATTTGTCTGATCATAGGTTCCTATATCAGAAAAGGTAAAATTGACGAACTTTGGGTCAAACCATCAATATCTGGAGTGTATTAATTCTGCTTATGAATTTGCCAGTGGAGAACTCTTGAATCTGATAAAACAAAAGGTATGATTATTTTTCTTTGTGCAATTAAGGAGCAATTAGTGATACAATCTTCTTGGCGTTGTTGATTATTAGTTCTTAAGCCATGTCTGACCCTCTTGTTGTTGGTGCAGTATGATCTAATGGGAAAGCTGCGCTCTATGAAACATTATTTTCTTCTAGATCAGGTGCCTAATTAACTACTGATCTATGACTGATTTGACGTCTCCTTATAAAATATGATATCAAATTTCTAAGCACTGGGGATTTGTGTTCTGGCTTCACTGATTTTCTGTGATGTGCTTTTCAGGTTTTGTCTATGTTATTTAACATAATTTTTTATGATGCAGGGTGATTTCTTAGTTCATTTCATGGACATAGCTCGAGATGAGCTTGCCAAAAAGCCAGATACAATTTCTGTAGAAAAGCTGCAGGTTTGGTGTTCTCCTATTTTCTTAATTGTTTATTAGGCGCTTCCATGAACCGTGTATGATTTGTTTTCTTTTTTCGAAAGATATATAATCTTATGAAATCTGCGAGCAGTTCTTTGTATAGCTCATATCCTGCAACCTGACAGTCTCTGCTGGACCTTGCTTTGCGCACAACAGTTGCTGCATCTGATCCGTGCCATGAGGACTTGACCTGCTGTGTGGTAACTAAATCATTGTGCACATCAAGTGATGGTGTTCTCTATAATAATATTATAGCTTTTATATTTGATGGTCTGTCTTTTTCTTTCTGAGCAGGAGAGAACCTCATTGCTGAATAGGTTGGGAACTCTCCAGGATCTAGAAGAGGGCATGAAAAATTTGAGGGCATGTGTTGCTACTGTTGAAATTAGTAAGACTGCTTTTGATAATAATGACCATTCAGCTCCAGTAAGTATTACTGGTGTGGAAACATTCTCCCTCAACTACAAGGTCTGGCATTCTGGTCGATTCCTTGAGCTTCTATTCTTCTCCTTGTGGCATCAAATGTTATTTTTTTGTCAGGGGATAAGTTGAATTCTTACTTTTTTTTTGTGTGTGTTCAGGTTAAGTGGCCATTGTCACTTGTTATTTCCAGAAAAGCACTGACCAAATACCAATTAATTTTCCGCCTCTTGTTCCACTGTAAGCATGTCAACCGCCAACTTTGTGGGGCATGGCAAACTCATCAGGTAGTTTTGTGTACATGGCTTTCTCAAACTTGGATTTTGCACTACTGCACTTAAATGCCTGTTATTTATTTGACATTCGGCAGGGGGTTCGCATGTTGAACACATTTGGAACAGCCATATCGAGATCTGCTGTGCTTTGCCGGAGCATGATCAAATTCATAAACAGCCTTCTACATTATCTAACTTTTGAGGTTGTAGATAATCCTGGATACTTGCTTCGTTAATATTTTCCATTTCTAATGAAAATTTTGAAAGCCGTCAAGCTGTTATTATTGTTCTCACTTCTCAGTAGTATGGCTTTCCAATTGTGCATTTGTACCAGGTTCTTGAACCCAACTGGCATGTTATGCATAATAGGCTTGAATCTGCAAAGAGCATTGATGAGGTTGGGTCACATAATTTGCTTTATATCCAGCTTGGTTGGCTTTAAATGCTCTAGAGAAGGTCACATTCTGGGTTTTGGAGCATTTTAATTACTTGTGACAATTCATGTCAGGTTATGGAGTTCCATGATTTCTTCCTCAAAAAATGTCTGAAAGAATGTTTGCTTCTTTTACCTCAAGTTCTAAGGGTCAGTATCATATTCCTATCTCTAATGGACGTATTATTTGTTTACTTGACGTGGATTCGTGTCATGTGCTGATCAAAATAAGTTGCATATAAAATGGAAAAAGATCTCAGAGTAGTTTGCATTAAAATTTTTTATAAACAAAAGAAAAAAGAGAGAATTTATTTATCTCTTTGCTTTCTTGATTAGGAAACAACAAAGAAATAGAATACAAACATGTTTGAAGGTTTAATATTCCTTTAGGTTCAGGCTCTGACTGTACCTTCTGACCTACAAATCCTACTGATGCTCGTTTTCTTGAAAGATGGATGTATGATTGTGAAATCTCAATAACAATGGATAGTTCTTACTTTTTTATTTTGTTTTATTTTATTTCTTGCTGCATCGACATTCTACTTAGATTTAATGATCTCAATGCAGAAGATGGAAACCCTAAAATCGATATGTCTCCAATATGCCTCATCAGTCCAATGGTTGTTACCGTCACTATATATAACTGTGGATGCCAATGAAAGCTCATTTGGTAGAGGAAAATCCAAGCTTAGGAGATCTAAGAGTAAACGCCTGGCCTCAAAGTCATCGGCTGAGAGCATGTCATTCGCTGAGACTGTAATGTAAGTAGAATGAATCGGTAACTAATGATAATCCAATGGACTATGGTATATTTTCAGTGCCTCATCCACCATCCATTCCAGCTGACTATTGCTGGAGATTAATTGTGTGGTAAAAATGTCAAAATATAGCTAACTTACCAACTATTTAACGTTTTCCCCATTTTCAGCTGTTCCAACTCATGACCATGGGCAATCTGAATTTAAAAAGTAAGATGTTAAATAGTTCATCTCTTAGGTACATTTTGATAAATATCCCTAAATGACCTACTACACTTAATCTTTGGCCATTGATTAGAGGGAACAGACTGTGGATGTAGCATTGGAGTTCTGTATATTATATCCCTTGGACTACTTGCCCAAAAAAGAAAAAAAATCCCATTGGACTAAGGTATTGAATGTATACCCTTTCTGTTCAATTACCTTCTATTTTATTGGGTCTTTTCTTTTATTTCTTTTATTAATGCAGCAAATTTGAGAAGGAATTTAATGAAGAATTACAAAGTTTAGGGCCCATCTTAAGCAATAGCTCACAGGCAGAGCCATACTTGACGCATCTTGCTCAATGGATTCTAGGCATTGGAAATGACTCGTAAGGTTTGCATGGATTTTCTTTAAGCTCTTATTTGGATGTTTGTTTTCTTACTTGAAGGTTTCTTCGAGCAGCTGCCTGATTTTGTAGAGCTTTATTGGTTCTAGAACCATAGACACCTTTGGTATCAATATATATTCATGAATATCAGTTCTACAGCGTTTATTGAAGCAATTCTAGTCAGCATGTCTTGGTTTTCTAGTGAGAAAATTTATTGAAGCAATTCTAGCCAGCATCTCTCTCTCTCTCTCACTTACTCACACAGTGATAATGGTTTCAAACTTTCAATACATGGAAATACGTCCCCAAGTTTCAGATCCAAGAGCATTTCATCCCAAAGTTACCCTCTCTGTCTCTATAGAGAAACGCTCATGAACAAGTAGGGCTGTTGACACGCCTGTGCAGGCCCGTGGACTTTCAGGCCAGGCCCAGTTCGGGACTGGGTTTGGGCTGCATGTCAAGACCTGTGGGTTGGGTCCGCTATGCCAAAATATTTTAAGGTCGGGACAGGGTTTGCATTGGTCAGAACGGGCCGGGCTTGAAAATTTTGTAGTATGGATTACATATATTAAGTAATATTTTTTCATAGTTATTAGGGTTTGACGCGATCTTTTTTGGCCATGCAGAGCTTGGGCCTTGTTATCATGAATTCTGGGCCGCCTTGGGCTGGGCTGTGGCCTACCCTTCTCTACCTTACATTGTGTCAGGTTGGGCTCGGACCAGGTCTGGTCCGGCTTGAACCCTCCTAGTTAACAACCCTATGGACAAGGAATGATAATAAATCCTTGGGCCGAAGTGCGTAGAAACTTGAAAAGTTTGTTATCTTTGTCGGTGCAAAATTCCCCTATTCACCTGTTATTAAGAAATGGGCCGTAATTATTGTCATAACATTATCATCAGTTTATAACAATCGCCATTTGCCGTTCTAATCGAAATGGCATTTAAGACTGCAAATAGGGTTGGAGTATGGGGAGTTGATGTTGTGTGCGGAGGCTCTAAACCCGGGTTGATTTTTAACGAATAAAGTACTAGAAAAATAGAATCAGCAAAAAACAAACCACAAGTGGTATCAGAGTTTGGTTCAGGGTTGTCGGTATGGTGGTAAAAGTTTCCAATGTAAAGTTTGAGGTGGAGAAATTTTATGGCAAAAATAATTTTGGAATTTGACAAATCAATGTTTGAGATTTGTTAGTGCAACAAGGTTTCAATACAACTTTGAAAGGAAAGTCAAAGAAACCAAAATCCATATCGGATGAGGATTGGGAAGATGAAGATCTGAGCGTTATGTGCAGTATTTGATTGTGCTTATTGAGTGAATTTCTATTTATTATCGTCTTTGAGGATTCGGCTTTCAAGTCTTTTGTTTGTAGATGACGAAGTCCCTCACAAATCAATTATTTTTGAAGAAAAAATTGTACACCTTGCGAATGAATGAAAGCACAGATATTTATGAGCACTTGAATTATTTTAATAAAATTATTTATGAATTATTGAATATTGGTATTAAAATAGATGATGAAGATAATGCTATAATTTTATTGTCTACACTCTCATTCGTATGAGTATCTAATCACAATATTGTTTTATGAAAAAGATACCATAGAGATGGAGGATGTGACTTCGACTCGTTTCTCTAATAATTTGAGGAAGAGACAAGGTAATTCTCAGCTACATGCAAATGATTTAGTGGCTAGAAGGAGATTTGATGAGAGAAGTGAAAAGGGGCATGAAAGTCAGGGCAGGTCAAAATCCAAATCCAGACTAGGAAAATGTAATATTCATTGTTATTACTGCAAGAAAAATAAGTATATCAAGAAGGATTGTCAGAAACTCAAAGAGAAAGAAAGATGAGCTTCTGAAGCAGTCAATATAGTCGATTGAAGCTCGATAAATGGTACATATAATGTGTTGTCAATCTCGACAAATTGTGACAATTCTAAAGATTCGTTGGTTCTTGAATCAGGGTGTTCTTATCATATGTAGCATTATCGAGATTGGTTGACCACATACAACATTGATGGTAGATCAGTTTTGATGGGGAATGATGTAGCTTGCGAGACCAATTGTGTTGAGACAGTTACTATCAAGATGTATAAAGTTGTGAGAACTTTGACTGATGTTAAAAATGTTCCAGATCTAAAGAAGAATCTTATCTCTTTGGGTGCCTTAGACTATAATGATTGCAAATTTGTTGGAGAAGGTGAATTTCTAAAGGTTCTAAATGGTGCTCTGGTTGTGATGGGCAAAAAAATTGGACATAATTTATATGTGCTGTTTGGAAATATTATCACATATGAAGCAACAATTTATGTATCGGATGATGGTGATTCTGCCTTGACTTAGTTGTGGCATATGCGGTTGGGCCACATGGGTGAGAGAGTTTTGGAGGAATTTAGTAAACATTGATCAATGGTGTGAAGAAGTATAAGTTGGACTTTTGTGAGCATTGTGTCTGTGGCAAGCAATGTAGTGCACAGTTTCGCACATCAAAACATGGCACAAAAGGTATTCTTAACTATGTTCATTCATATATATAGGGCCTGTCATCGGATGTCTCAAAAGGTGGATCTCTATACTTTGTTTCTGTCATAGATGATTCATTAAAGAAGGTGTGGATTTACACATTAAAGAAAAAAACATATGTATTTAATTCATTCAAGCCTTGGAAAGTGGTGGTCGAAATATAGGTTGGGAATAAGGTCAAGTGCTTGAGGATGATAATAGTGGAGCATACACTTCATCGAAGTGTATGAATTTTTGCAATAGCAAATGAATTATTTGTCATTTCACTTGAAGACGTTGCCACAGAATGGTATTCGTGAGTGCATGAACAAAACACTTATAAAGAAGACCTGCATCATGTTGAGTAATGTTGGTTTGTCGAAGGACTTTTGGGCAGAGGCGGTCAATACAACGTGTTATATTAACTGGTTACCATCTACAACATTAGACTACAAAACACCACAAAATATATGGTCCAGTAAACTTGTTGATTATTCTTATTTAAGAATTTTTGGTTATCCTGTTTATATTTATGTGATGAACAATAAGTTGAGTTCTAGATCAAATAAGTGTATTTTCTTTGGATATGCGGATGGAGTCAAGGTTATAGAATAACGTGCCCAGATCCTAAGTCACATACGTTTATTAAGAAAAAGAAAATCACCATAGCAGTGATGCAGTTGAGGTGGCGTTGACAACTCTAGAAAATATTTCAAAATTTGTGTAAAAAAGTCCTATAAAAGAGTGGAGGAAGACATTGACTATGAGAAAGCCGTTGAGCATATTCCACATGAGGAATAACTTTAACTTGAAAAAGGGAAAGATAATAAAAAAGGCAGTGGTGCGGTACAGTTTTGAGGACATGGTAGCTTATGCATTGACCGCCACAAGTCAAGAACCATCCCCTTTTAAGAAAGCTACGCAAGATAGTGACATTAACTAGTGGAGTAATACCATAGATGGAGAAATGAAGTCTTTTAAGAAAAATCATATTTGGGATCTCGTGAAGTTGCCTATAGATATGAGAGCCATTGGATGTAAATGGGTTTATAAGAAGAAAGATGGGTCAACTGAGACTGGTAGTGATTGGTTTAGAGCACGTTTAGTTGCAAAAGGCTATACGCATAAAAAAGTTATTGACTATAATGAAAGTTTCTTTCCAGTTATGAAATACACAGAGATCAAAAGTTGGGTAAGTTGTAGCTATCTCAAAAGGAGTACATTGAGAAGGTCCTCGCTAGAATCGGGATGGAAAATTCAAAGCCTGTAGGTACTCCTCTTGCTGCACATTTCAGATTGTTGGCAGCATTATCTCGAAGTTCAGATGTTAAAAAGGAATACATGTCGTGTGTTCCCTATGCGAGTGCAATTGGAAGAGTAATGTATGTAGTGATTTGCACTCGTCCAAACATTTCTCATGCTGTTAGTGTTGTTAGCAAGTATATGGCTAATCTAGGAAATGAGCATTGGCATGCGGTAAAACATATTATGTGTCACCTAAAGGGTTAATTAGATGTAGGTCTGGTGTTTGATAGAAATAATAAGTTTGGTGACAAGGTTGTTGGTTATGTTGATGCTGACTTTGCAGGTGATTTGGATTGTAGGAGATGTACTATAGGTTATGTGTTTACATTTGCAGGAGCTCAATCAGTTGGAGGCTGATTCTACAAACCATGGTGGCCTTGCCTACGATTGAAGCATAATATGTGACAGCTATTGAGGCAGTGAAAGAAACCATATAGCTTAGAGGGCTTGTAAATTTTTTGGGTAAGTTAGAGAGCTTGTAATTGATTTGGGCTTACGAGATGATGAAATTATTATTTTATTATATTATGATAATTAAAGTGTAATACATTTGACGAAGAACCAGGTATATCATGCAAGGACAAAACATATTGATGTCAGGTACCATTTTATCTGTGAAATAATAGTTAAAGGTGATATCTCATTACTGAAGATTAATATCAAGAAGAATGCTGCGGATGTGCTGACAAAGCCAGTTCCATTATAGAAGTTTAAGCTTTTCTTAGACTTAATTAATGTGTTATCAAGGTGAGTACCTGAGGAGGCGCATGTGGAGAACACAGGCAATAAACATCTCTTTAGGAATTCAAGCCAATTTGGAGATTTGTTGATAATTGCCTTGAATCTCTATTTTATGGGATTGTTTTTTTTTTAACTTTGGGTAACCTATTTTTTGGATAGTTCATATTATGTAGGATGATTATCTTTTGGGTTAGTCTTAGTTGGGTTAGGATAGACATGTGGTAAAGATAAAAGTCAAGATTCCATAAAGTAGGAAAACATAGAAGGATTGTACGTATCACTTTTTGGGTTTTTATTTTTATTTTTATTTTTTTATTTTTATAAAAAGTTGCATTTGTAGAGAGAGGAGAGAAAAGAAAAAAAAGGTAAACTTTGGGCTATTCTGAAGAGAGAGAATTGTAGAGATGAGGCATTGTGGCAGCTTGAGTTTTTCCTATGGTTCTCTTAGGTATAAGTCTTTAATAATTTTTTCTTTAATTGATTAGTAAAAAAACATCGATTGTCGTCACTTGTGAATCTAGTCGCATTTGTGACGAATTATGTAAATTATGGTTTTCTCTTTTTATTTTATTTATTTTCTGCTTTATTTTTCTTGCTTGTTGGATGTTCTATTTTTTTCGTATATTATTTGCTAAAAAAACAACCCATCCGATTTAGAGTTTCCACGCATAACAGTCGACCCTTGGACACAGCTCGACTTGGACCTGTGCATGTCTTGGGCTTAGATTTGATCTGCTGGGTCAGCCTGGACCGCACATACACAAACAAACAAGAAAAAGCTACAAAATGCTATTAGAGTGTTTCTTTAGTTAGACGCTATCAATGATGATCGGACTGTTGAGAGTGCATGGGTATTTTAATCTTTGAGTTCTATACTCCTCATTCTTATATATATATATATATATATATATATATATATATAGAGATACTACAATACGTACTAGTAGGACGAAAGTAGAGACAGTAGTACTTCCGTCCCTTACCCCTTACTACTACTACTACTACCTAACCTTTAATTAGTTA